GGGGGGGGGGATCTTGAATGGATTAAGCGGGATGCTGGGAGACAAGGAACCTAGTCGAAGGAGAACGGAGGGGCAGCGGAAGGAGGCATTATGGCGCATGGCAGAGGGACAGATGAAGAGCTGGGCGTTGTCTATAAACTCGGGGATCGGCACGACAAAACAGGGCCAGGTGTGGTGGGTAAACGGGGGTGGGGGGTGGGATGTACGCGGGGCCCTGGCTGAGCGTCCCCAACCCACACTTAGGCTGCGGTCACACACACGCTAAATAATCCACTTTCAGTGCCCTTTCCAACTGGATTTTTACCGTGTGAACTGGCAAAATCCAGTTGGAAAGTGGACTGAAAGCGGATCGAAAGTGGATTATTTAGTGTCTGTGTGACCTCAGCCTTATAGGGGGAAGTCAATAGGCATGCTTTGGACCCAAAGGAGAAAACGGTTAGGAAGTTCTCTGGATCTGACCCATAGCGGGCCGTGCAAAAACAACCTGATTCTACAACCTGCACGACACTAGGCGGCGTAAACCAAGTGTGCATCTTTGGGCACTCCGTTCAGCTCCCTCGCCTGTCAGGACTAAGCCCCAGGACCCGTTTTCTCACCCTCACGGCTGCTAAAAGGGAGGTTCAATCCAGCACCCCTTTCTGACCGTTCCGCCCGCTCGCTCCTGGTATGTCTGGAAGTGGTTATTACACAGGGAAGGTGAGCTTGAAACCACGTTACCAGCCACAACTGTTTGACGTGGGCGTTTCCATCGCTGGTGGCGTTGGGGAGAACAGATGCAAGTTCCAGGCAAGGTTAGTTGAGGCATCTGGGCCAGAATCGGTGACGGGCGCTAAAACTCCACTGCCCACCTTAACACATCAGCTGAAAGTGACCTCTAACCGAAACATGAAATGAGATCTGAAAAGTTTCTCTGTGGCGTGGTATCGCGGCCAGAGTGTCAGATGATAATCCGGGAGACCCGGGTTCAAATTCCTGCTCTGCCGCGGAATCTCGCTGGGTGACCTTGGGCCGGTCACACACTCTCGGCCTAGCCTACCTCGCAGGGTTGTTGTGAGGGTAAAATGGAGGAGAGGAGGAGAACGTAAACCCCTCTGGGTTCCCGTTGGGGGAAAGGCAGGATATAAATGGAACAAACAAACAAAAAAAAGTTCTGCGCCAAGAGAGGAGGGCTTAGGGAGGCCACCCGGGGCTCTTGTTTGGGGGGAAGGTGGGGTATTAAAAAAAGGTAAAGGTAAAGGTCTTCCTTGCTCGAAAGCCAGTCGAATACAACTCTAGGGGTGCGGTGCTCATCTCCGTTTCCAAGCTGAAGAGCCAGCGCTGTCCAAAGATGTTTCTGTGGTCATGTGGCTGGCATGACTAGACGCTGAGGTGCACAGACGCTGTTACCTTCCCAACGAAGCGGTACCTATTTATCTACCTGCAATTTCTTGCTTTTGACTTTTGCTCCTTGAGTGCTAGGTTGGAGGGAGCTGGAACCAGAGACGGGAGCTCACTCCGTCATGCGGCACTCGAGTCTCGAACTGCCGAACTACCGACCTTTCGGTCTGCAGTTCAGCGTCTTAACCACTTGAGCCACCGCAGCTCCTTAAAAGAAGCAAATAAATAAATGTATTCGGAGGGACCTGAGGAGCGCACGAAAGAATGTGGCGAGGGTTCGCCGCGGATTCGGCACACGCCTCAGTGTTTAACCAGAGTCCGCGGAGAGCGAATCGCAAAGGCAGATTTTGCTCCTTGAGTGATCTAGCCCGTGTTTATGACCCTAACCCTCTCCTCCATTTTAAGTCTCACAACCACCCTGGGAGGGACGTTAGACTGAGAAGGCATGACTGGCCCAGGGCCCCGAACCGAGTGGGCATTTTTACCTGGCTTTCCCCAATCCCGCTGCGACATGCAACCGCTATAACACCACAGGGATCGATCACCGGGAGGACAGCGAAAGTGTCAGCTTTCATAAAAACCCACCCACCCACCCACCCACCCAGAGAAATCCCCCCAACCCTCATTTCCCCCCCAATTAACCATCCAGCTGACGCTGAGTGTCGATTTTTTTCTCCTGGAAGTCGCTTTTACCTTGAGCGGGCTATTTATGATTCACTTCATTTATATCCCCGCCTTTCTCCCCAAAGCAGCTTGCATTGTTCTCCTCTCCTCCATTTTATCCTCATGACAACCCCATGAGGTAGGCCGGGCTGAGAGTGTGAAACAGGCTCATGGTCACCTGGTGAGCTTCCATGGAAGAGTGGGGATTCGAACTCGGGGCCTCCGAGATCCAAGTTCGACACTTTAACCGTTATACCGTGCCACTGCCAAAGAGTGGTGCGTATTTTCGGTTTCTTGTTCCTAAAAACGTAAGATGACCGTGCGCTGTTCCAGAAAGATGCCGCCGGCAGTGAAGGGTTTCGACGTTTGCGTCCCCCCCCCCCACGTGCAGTTTCCTTTCAAGGAGTGGCCCACACGGACCTCGGCCCGCTCACTCACTGGCTGGCTGCTTTGGCCGAGCCAACATTCCGGGCAATTCCGCAGAGCCCTTTCCACGCCCGACCTCAGTCGCGCCCACAGAGCAGCGTAGGAAGCACGTTAGCAGCAGCTTCGGTTAGTTAGCCACCTTAACAAAGCACCCGCAAGCGCCCCCAGCCAAAGCTCACCTTCTGAGCCCCAGAGAAAGCGTGATAGAAGCAGGAGACGTAGGTCATGATGGCTTTCTCATCGGGCCTCAGCGTGCCTACGATATCTGTGCCGGAAGAACGAGAGAGAGAGAGAGAGAGAGAGAGGAGAGAGGAGGCCAAGTCAAGATTGCAAATGCAAGATATTTCCAGACCCTGCTCTGGCATGCAGCAGAGGGGAAAGGTGGCAACATAGATATATATATATATTTTAACTTTGGACGGGGACCCAAATCTCAGCTGGAACATGAGCTCCAAAACCCTCATTAGCCCGGGCAAATATCTGAAGCTGTTTGTCAAAGATCTTTGCCCCAACTTTAATGCACCACGAGCAGCCAAAAAAACAAAAGCTTTAAGGGGTTGGGTAACTGGAAGGTTTATCAACCTTCGGAAGATTTGTTGGCGGGGCTGAGAACCGAGAGGCTGGCTTTCGGACGCCGCTTCAGTCTCAGCGTGTCGCTCGGATAGGAAAGGCACAGGAAACGTGTTCCGGGAGTCGCAGCTTCCCCCTCGCCCAAAATCAACCTCCCAAACTTTCTTCCGCGTTGCAAGTAAAAAAGCGGAGGGAGGGGAACGCCTGTGTAGATTGTTCAGTGGGTCTGACAGATGTGGATTGAATCCGTTAATCGATTGTCCAAAAAAGGAAGGACAATAGCCGGATAATTTCCGCTACCTGAAATACAGAGGCACACCGGTCACTCTACTTGAAATACAGAGGCACACCAGAGGCAGTCTTTAAGCATCACTCGGGGCCCTCGAAATAATCTGGCTCAGAGGGACAGGTGTGTCGGATCGTGGACGGGAGATGCTCTTTAGCCACACCCTGATCTAGCTGAGCTTTGGGTGCCCCGTTTCCTAGCGGTTGCTGCCCCCTGCGAGAGAGAGAGAGACCAGGAGCATGAAGGACACCGGCGAGAACACGCTGTTGGGGCGTAGGCCCGGCTGCTTCTGGTACCTTCTGTGCGCCAGAGAAGGCATGGTAGAAACTGGAGACATAGGTCATAATGGCCTTCTCGTCCGGACGGGCTGTGTTCACAATGTCTGAAAAGTGAACAATAAGCATTAAGGACATCGGGAGGCGAGATATTGTGAAGGGGCCACCGGCACAGAAGTCCTCCTGCAGGGAGAGAGTCTATCTGGGAAATGTTAACATATATGAGAACAAGCCGCACACTCTGGCGAAGAAGAAGAAGAGATTGGATTTATACCGTGCCCTACACTACCCAAACGAGTCTCAGAGCAGCTCACAATATCCTTTCCCTTCCCCTCCCCACAACAGACATCCTGTGAAGTAGGTGGGGCTGAGAGAGCTCTTTCGAGAACTGTCCTTGAGAGAACAGCTCTCAAAGAACTTGCGACTGACCCAAGGTCACACCAGGAGGTGCATGTGGAGGGGTGGGGAATCAAACCCGGAATCAAACACATTCTAGGGAAGGAGGAGGAGGAAGAAGAAGAGGAGGAGGAGAAGGAGGAGGATATTGGATTTATACCGTGCTCTACACTACCCAAAGGAGTCTCAGAGCAGCTTACAATATCCTTTCCCTTCCCTTCCCCTCCCTACAACAGACATCCTGTGAAGTAGGTGGGGCTGAGAGAGCTCTTTCGAGAACTGTCCTTGAGAGAACAGCTCTCAAAGAACTTGCGACTGACCCAAGGTCACACCAGGAGGTGCATGTGGAGGGGTGGGGAATCAAACCCGGTTCTCCCACATTAGAGTCTGTGCACCTAACTACTGTCCCAAACTGGCAAGCAGAATTGGACGCTGAGTAAGCCAGTGATCCCAAACCCCAAACGTGTTGACAGGGCAGCTTATTAAACTAACAAGGCAGCCTATTAAACTAACAAGGGTCTTGAAGGCCACTGAATTCTCCCAACTCTGCAGCATCTAATAACACCTGCCTTTTCTTCTGAGCATCCAGCCAGGAAATGCAGCTTTAAACGCCTGCTGGAATACGGTCACTCTTGGTTGCCTTTACTGGGCTGCTTGCTGCTTGGGGTCAAATGCCATTTACGCCCGCAACAAAGGCGAAAGTAAGAAGCCCGTTAACACAGCGGCTTGCTGTCTTGTCCACTGGCAGAACAAACCAAGGCACGCAGCTCTCTTGGATCCTTCCAAGCACACAGATGATAAAAGCTGGAAGAAACCCCTCCAAACTTTCCCCCTTGTGAAGCCTCTTACAGAGAACTGCTGCTCACCAGGAAAACTGGAAATGAGGATTGAGATACAGCATTATGCTGAGCGAGCCACAGCAGAGAAAGCCTCAGCCTGTAATTGCTGCCTGAGCGACAGGGAGGCAGCTGCATCCAGTCAATCCATTCTGCCAGTTCCCACTCCACTGGAGGGCAGCGTTTCCATTACCAAATTCATCAGTGGGATCCAACCCGGGGTCCACTGTTCTCCGTATACTGGACTAACCGAATACTGTCCGAATACAGTCCAAATTTCGGACTGGCTGTTTTTAAGCAATGAAATTCTTGCCACTTGGGGTCCCTGTTCTCAGAAAAGAAGTCAACTGACAAATATTTACCAGGGGCCCACTTTGGCTGTGAGCTCGCATGCAGAAGAATGAGCCAACAAAGCCCCGAGCTGGTACGAATGGACTGCATATGGCTTCAGACTGTAGTCGGGTAGTAGGAAAGACCAAGAGTCCAGTAGCACCTTAAAGACTAACAATAAATGTGGCAGGGTAGGAGCTTTCGGGAGCCACTGCTCACTTCTTCAGATACCCGAAGGAGTGCGCTGTGACTCACGGAAGCTCCTACCCTGCCACGTATTTTGTTAGTCTTGAAGGTGCTCCTGGACTCTTGCTCTTTTCTGCAGCTGCAGACAGACCAACACAGCTACCCATCTTGTAGCTGGATAGGATCACTTAAAAAAAAAACAACAACGCAGAAGAAGCAATCTCCCTGGAAGCGGAAACTAGGACTCCCTGGAAGCGGAAAGCTAGGAAGAAACCAAGCTGTGCCAGAACTTGTCCCCTGATGTTCAAGTTTTCTACTTTCTTTCTTTTCTTTTCTTTTAAACTGTGGAGGGAACACTAAAAATGTGATCCTTCGACTGAAGGCTGAAATGGTACGTCCCACTCTTCTATAGCAGGACTCTACCACCTCCTCCTCCTCCATGTTCAGATCGGGGGGGGGGGGTCACTGGGGCAGAGGACCTGCAAATTATCTGGCTGATAATCGCAGGGCATCACTGGTTAAAGGCAAGTCAGATTACCCCGGCCAAGGCTTTGGCTCACCGTGTTTCTGGCTTGCGCGAACTCAGTCCCCGCTGATGGGGGGGGAAAAAGTATGAATGGTCCTTCAAAGCCAAGAATCTCTTAGCGAGGAAACGTGCTACATTCGGGCTCAAGTGCAACTCGGCGGAAAGGAAGAGAAGCTCTCCTGGCGCCAAACCAAGACCGCAAAGACGGAGAGAGGCTCCAAGCTTACCTTCGGCGTCCAACATCTTGGGAATGTCGAGGTATTTCTCCGCGACCTCAAAGGCATTGTTCAGATTTGTGACTGGATCGTCCTGGGGGGGGGGAGGGAGGGGATTTTGCCATTAAAGAAAGCACCGAGCACAGCAATCGGCTCTCTCGCCCCACCAAACCCAGATCTAGGGAAGGGCTGAAGGCAACATTTCATCTCCACCCTGCTAAGAGCCAACCACATCTGAGATCCAAAGTCAAGTATACGGGAGGGCGAAAAGCATCCACGTTTCGGGTTGGCAAATAGAAGACTGTATTTACACGTCCTCCTGGCCGCATGGAGTTCCTGACGCCGCAGCTGGGATTTCTGGCAACAGCCGCACTCGAAATGGAACGTTTCAGACAGGCCTCCGTTACAGTGAGTCGTAAGAACGTAAGGGGAGCCAACGTTGGATCAGGCCATTGGCCCATCCAGTCCAACGCTCTGTGTCACACAGTGGCCAAAAATCTCAGGTGCCATCAGGAGGTCCACCAGCGGGGCCGGATCCTGCAAACCTGTTCCGCAAGCAGCCTGCCCCTGACGCAAAACTCTCGGAAGAACATCCTGCATTCCGGAAACGCTCTTTCTGCAGAGGAAAGGGCCTCTGCTAATGGGATGGATCTAACCCTGCGAATCAAAAGATTCGCAACCAACCCGCCGAATTCAAGACCGTTCTGAGCTCCATAAAAAAACACGGTTATTCCCTGTATTTCAAACACACACCCCCGGCTCGTAAGAGACTCCACTTCCTGAATGCTTCCGGGCATGCTTAACCCTCTCTGTCCTGAAGCCAGCCACACAGTTACGCCCATCTTATCGACGGAGGAATCTAGCCTGGGGGTCCATGACTCAGCCAAGGACATCAGACAAAACACTGGCGAGAGCAGGATTGAATCCCGGGCAATGTGGAAATCGCTGCCAGAGGATGTCCTGAGGGCCACAGGAATAAACAGCTTTAAAAGGGGATCAGATAGATTCATGGATGATACGTCTATCAATGGCTACTAGCCATGGCGGCTGAGGGGAACCTCCACATTCAGAGGCACTAATCCTCTGAATCCCAGAGCCAGGAGGCAACATTAGGCGAAGGCCTCGGCCTCTCTGCCCTGTTGCTGGCTGTCCAAAGGAACTGGTTGGCCACTGTGTGAGACAGGATGCTAAGACTAGATGGACCCCCACTGGTCTGATCCAGCAAGGCTGATATTCTTATGAAGGCCTCAGTCTCTCTGCCCTGTTGTTGCCCATCCAGAGGAACAGGTTGGCCCCTGTGTGAGGCAGGATGCTGAGCTAGATGGACCCCCACTGGTCTGATCCAGCAAGGCTCTTCTGACATTCGTATGAAGGCCTCGGCCTCTCTGCTCTTTAGCTGGCTCTCCAGAGGAACTGGTTGGCCCCTGTGTGAGACAGGATGCTGGACTAGATGGACCACTGATCTGATCCAGCAGGGCTCTTCTGAGGTTCTTATGAAGGCCTCGGCCTCTCTGTCCTGTTGCTGGCCCTCCAGAGGAACTGGCTGGCCCCTGTGTGAGACAGGATGCTGGACTAGATGGACCACTGATCTGATCCAGCAGGGCTCTTCTGAGGTTCTTATGAAGGCCTCGGCCTCTCTGTCCTGTTGCTGGCCCTCCAGAGGAACTGGCTGGCCCCTGTGTGAGACAGGATGCTGGACTAGATGGACCATTAGTCTAACCCAGCAGGGCTCTTCTGATGTTCTAATATGGTGAACTACAAAAATTCTTCCTGGCTCTGGTGGGTTCCGGGGGGCATCCATGCAAAACCGTACGCTGAGACAGAAGACGCCGCTGTTGACGTACCTTCCTGAGCTTGTCGTATTCGATCAGTTCTGGTCTGTGTCTGTGGATCAAGGCATTAAAAGCAAGGCCGTCTTTCCAGCTGTAAAGAGAAGCCCAAAGACGCGGTTAGGTTATTCGGCTGCTAGGAACAGAGAAAGAGGTACTAAAGCCGTGCTTTAGTAAGCCGTGAGCCTGCTTCATAAATCTGTGCATTTGGGGGGAAGGGTATTGAAAAATGTTGATCAAGCACCCTCCTTCAGCAAAATCAGACTGCGTACCGTCAAGGGCCCAAAACATCGTTTCTCTGGGGCGGGCGTGCAACTATAAAACGACCAGTGTTCCCTCTAAGCTGAGTTAGTGTGAGCTAGTTCATTTTTTTTTAGCCTCTGGCTCACACGTTTTTGTTTTAGCTCAGGAAGGATGGCTCCCGAGCAAACTAATTGATGCAGCAGCCAAATCGCTCACTCACAACTTTCATGCCAGGAGCTCACAAAGTGGAAGTTTTGCTCAGAAGAACAAGAAGGAGAGGGAGGAGGAGGAGGAGAAGAAGGAGGAGAAGGAGGAGGAGATTGGATTTACTACGCTTCACTACCCGAAGGAGTCTCAGAGCGGCTCACAATCTCCTTCCCCTCCCCACAACAGACACCCTCTGTGTGAGGTAGGTGGGGCTGAGAGAGCTCTTGACAGAAACGGCCCTTTTTCAAGAACAGCTCTTATCAGAACTACGGCTTGCCCAAGGTCATCCAGCAGCTGCAAGCGGAGGAGTGGGGAATCAAACCCGGTTCTCCCAGATTAGAGTCCATGCACTTGACCACCACACCACAAGACTCCACAACTTAGAGGGAGCACTGAAAATGAGCCCACCAACCACCTGCCAATTCCCTGCTGTGCAATCCTTTTTTTCCCCCCCTTTCCCCATCAAGTCACAGCTGACCCCGATTAGCTTTCGAGATCTGACGAGGTCGGGGCCCACGCCATCTTATGAGTTGTCAAACAAAACAGACACGCCTGAAATGGCATTACACAAACTGGACCACGGTCAGTGACGTCGGTTCGGCGGAAGAATTTGAAATCAGAAAATTCTCCAGCTCACAGTTTTAAATCAAAGAGTTTAAATAATGTTAGCAAAAGGCGGCAAATACACTAGGTACGCGCCCAGACTATCAACTAGCACTGGGGTTTGTCACCCTCGGTCCATCAAAGAAAATATTGTCTACTCAGACCGGCAGTGGCTCTCCAGGGTCTCAGGCGGAGGTCTTTCCCATCACCTACCGCCAAATTTTGTAACTGGAGATGCCGAGAACTGAACCTGCCAAGCAGATGCTCCACCACTGTGCCACAGCCCCTCACCGCGCTTCATACCCCACACTTAACTCATCAAACGCGACTGATCTGCACTGCAATAGTGCCGACGAGTGGCCAGAGTTCCCTCTAAGCTGAGTTAGTGTGAGCCAGCTCACAGTTTTTTAGCCTCCGGCGCACACGTTTGTGTCTCAGCTCAGGGAGGAGGGCTCCAGAGCAAACTAATTGATGCAGCAACCAAATTGCTCGTTCACAACTTGAATGCCAGCAGCTCACAAAGTAGAATTTTTGCTCACAGGACTCCACAGCTTAGAGGGAGAATTACTGATGACTTAGATAAACAGACTAAATTCACATACGTGGGGTGCAAAGTTTTTCCACAGAAAAATTCAGTCTCCGGAAAATTTCCTGCCCCGCATCACTGACCGTGGTAACGGGCTTCCCAGCACGGCCTGGCCTCCAGCAAGCGACTTCCATTTGGGCCTCTGGCTCACGGGAAAGGAGGCTATGGGCCTGGTCTGCCAAAGCTTTAATGGAAGACCGTTATCGGGAAGCAATTTCTTGCAACCTTCGATAGGCTCAAGTGTTTTGGAAAAGTGAAGAGGGATGGAAGACCTTCCGATAAGGCGGGGCTCAGATCTTTTACCTGATGTGGAAGTTCTGCACGTTGACGTTCTTGTAGGGAGCCGTCTTCCGCTGGCACCAGAGCAACAGGCCTTCTTTGGCCGAGGTCTCTGCACACGGGGGGGGGGGGGGGGGATGAAAAGGAAGTCACAAAGCTGTACTCAGGAGGAGGCCTTCCTAAAACGGAGCTTTAACCGAAGGTGGCAGCCGAAAACGTGCAGGGTGGAACCAACCCAAGTCTAGAGAGAAAACTCTGGAGGGTTCACGCGAGACGATTGGCACATTCAGAAAAGAAGTACGCTCCACCTTGATAGATCAAGGTGGATAGCCATGTTAGTCTGTAGCAGGGGTCATTTCCTGTGGGAGCGCACGGGAGCGGAGCTCCGGCAGTAAGGAACCCAGGGGGCGGGCACATGCAACAAGCCCCGCCCCCTGCTCCCAGCAGCCCTCAGTCGGGCCACGAGGAGCAAGAAGCAGCCAGGTAAGTTGCAGCGTCCCCCCCCCCCCCCGGCCCGCCTTCAGGTACAAGCTCTCCCTCCTCTGCGAGGACAGATCTGCGCGTCCCCCCCCCAATAGCTAGCAATCCAAAACAGTCCAGTGGAGCCTGAGCGGTGGGTGTTGCCTTCTGACACACTTCCGGTGATGGCAGGGGGTGTGGCGTATGCAAATAAGTTATGCTAATGAGCTACTGCACCACTTTTTCTACGAAATGACCCCTGGGCTGTAGCATTAGAAAAGAGCACTGCCTTTCGAGAAATTTGCTATCGGATAGCCGGGCAGAAGTTACTTATCGGGTGGGCTAGGTTCGGATGGCTTGCCCTAAGAATTAGAAAATCTATAGTAGCTCGAAAAGAGGAGAATTAAGATGAAGTGTTATTGATTTTAACCATTATGGTTTTAATGGTGTTTTTTTAATAACCACTCTTAAAATTCTGTTCCGATTTTAGTGTGATATCTTTTACCCATGTTACAAAATACCATTGGTTTATGTTTTGGTCCATGACCGTGAATAAAACTTGTCTGTCTATCTAGAAAAGACCTTCAAGACTAACAAAATATACAGCAGGGTAGGAGCGTTCGGGAGTCACTGCTTCGGGAGTCTTTCGGGAGTCATTTCAGGAGATACCTGAAGAAGTGAGCAGTGACTCACGAAAGGTCTTCTCCCCGCCACGTATTTTGTTAGTCTTTTTTTTTAACTGTCCCGAAAGGCAGAATTTTATTGACATTTTCACATTTTCACATATTTTGCACACACAAAATAAACATATAAACATACATACGCACACACATGTATGGGGGTTATTTTTCTTTTTAACAAACATTATGCTTATGCCTAATCCACCTTAATCTCTATTCTAGTGTATTATGTTAAATGACCATCCAACTAGACCTCAATCGAGTATATACTTTAGACTGTCCATGATAAACTTGCCTACATATGATTATCGTACCAATTATAGTTAGTCTTGAAGGTGCTCCTGGACTCTTGCTCTTTTCTACTGCTTCACCTTGAGTTTCTTATATATTATGGGGTACACAGAGGAGGGGTACACAACGCATTCATCTTGTGTAAAGTAGGTCTTCGTGTCCACTTTAAAAAGGGACTTGCGAGAGACTTAAGTATTAGAAACAGAGGTCATTTCAGGGGGGATCGCGGGGGAACGCAGTCCCCCCGGGTGAGGTGCAGGGGGGCAGGGCACATGACGAAGCCCCGCCCCCTGCTTCCGGCCACCCCGCTTCCAGCCCTCATTCAGCCAGGAGGAGGCAGGAGAAGAGGGAGGGTAAGTTGCTTCCTTCCTGCCTCTCCCCACTCCTGCCTGCCTGGGGCCAGGGAGGGCCTTGGCGGGGCTTCCTCGCACTCCCGCTGGCCTTACAGGTCCACCGCCGGGCCCCTGATGTCAGGGGGTGTGGCATATGCTAATGAGTTATGCTAATGAGTTCCCCTAGCTCTTTTTCTACGAAATGACCCCTGATTAGAAAGGCCGTCTCTTAGAGGAGGGCAGGGAGCTGTTCCTGTTGGCAGCAGAGGAGAAGACTCAAAACAACGGGTTTAAATTACGGGTGGAAAGATCCCGGCTGGAAATTGGGGGGGGGGGGGGGGGTTTTTTTTTTTTTTACAGTAGTTCAGCAGAGGGATCGGCTGCGTAGGGCGGTGGTGAGCTCCCCCTCACTGGCAGTCTTTAAGCAGCGGCTGGACGAACACTTGCCCGGGCTGTTTGAGGCTGATCCTGCATTGAGCAGGGGATTGGACTGGATGGCCTGTCTGACCCCTTCCAACTCTATGATCCTACGGCCCTGCTGGTAACTAAACCCCACACACACACACCTCCAAGGCTCACTGTCTGCCTCCACGTAACGGTAGAACAAGACACTCAGCGGCAAGCTCAGGATCGCTAGTCCAGCATCCGATGCTGAACTGCGAAACAGGGAGACACGTCTGCCAAAAGGGAAGCTGTTCGCCGGCCTCTTGTCTGGCTTCTCTCTGGTGCATCTCCAAACCGCATTCTTCTCCAGACGGAGTCCCTGGAAGGCTTCCCCGCAGGACACTAAGGCTGTGCTACCAATCTCTCCTTCCCCACTCTGTAAATACACCGCGCTCCCTTTTCAAGTGGGCCAACACGTTTCCTAAAATCTGTAAAAATGAACCCTGCCGGTAGAAATTCGCACACTGTGGGGGAGGAGGGTTAGAGGGCCCTCTGAGCAAACTTCAGCCTTGGAAGAGAGGGGTGCGCATTTCTGAGAAAGGGCTACGTGGGGGGGACAGACAAGAGCTGCGTTCCCTCTAAGCTGAGTTGGCGTGAGCTAGCTCACAGTGTTTCAGCCTCCGCCTTACACGTTTCTGTCTTAGCTCAGGAAGGACGGCTGCAGAGCAAACTAATTGACGCAGCGGCCAAATCGCTCGCTCACAACTTTTAATGCCACCAGCTCACAAAGTAGAAGGTTTGCTCACAAGACTCCACGGCTTAGAGGGAGCACCGGACAAGACAGCTGTCGGGAGCCACATCTGGTCTTTGAAGCAGAGTCCATCCACGCTTTACGGGCACTCCGAGATCAAGTACTTGAAAAAAACAGCTGCACGCTTGGTACAGAAAAATGAGGATGATCGCAACTGACTGTGCAGAGCGACGCTCCCTCTAAGCTGTGGAGTCTTGTGAGCAAAAAATCTACTTTGTGAGCTCCTGGCATGAAAGTCGTGAGCGGACGATTCGGCCGCTGCATCAATTAGTTTGCTCTGGAGCCCTCCTTCCCGAGCTGAGACAAGAATGTGTGAGCCGGAGGCTAAAAAACCCCATGAGCTGGCTCACACTGACTCAGCTTAGCGGGAACACTGGTACAGAGAGCGGTTTATTAAAAGCGATCTACTGGGAAGGAGGAAACGAGGGACGGCGGGTGAGGGCACCGGCCTGGATCACCACGCGGCCACGACGCTTCGCGGTTTGGGTTTTTTTATCTTCCTCTCCACTGTATCAAAGACGCGGCACTCTGCACAGCTGCTGCGGTTTTGGCACGAGGAAACACGGAAATATCACTACTAAACATATTTCCAAAGGATTTTGATAAAGATGATAGATATTTCATAGTACATCTATCTACGGCAGCAAGAATATTATATGCAAAATATTGGAAACAAACGGAAGCGCCAAAGAAGCAAGAATATGTGAATAAACTGTGGGAGACGGCAGAAAATGACAAACATCGTTGATGAGAGGGACAACAGACCCGACGTTTCAAAAGACTTGGAGAAAACTGTATGACTGATATAATATAAATGCGTAGTTTAAAGTAATGAAATTTCTGGCATTATTAATCTCTTTTAGTTAAATAGAAACTATGGTAAAAAGATAAGAGTATACAGAAACTTAAGCAAACCCATAGAAAGTGACCAAAGAAAATTTTTAAATACGGTAACGGAGTTATAAGAAAATATACTGATCTCTTTGTATGTCTTATGTATGTGTTGTTTATATGTTGTATGTAAAGGTAAAGGTTCCCTTGCTCGAAAGCCAGTCGAATCCGACTCTAGGGTTGCGGTGCTCATCTCCGTTCCAAAGCCAAAGAGCCAGCGCTGTCCGAAGACGTTTCCGTGGTCATGTGGCCAGCATGACTAAACACCAAGGTTCATGGAACGCTGTTACCTTCCCACTGAAGTGGTATCTATTTATCTACTTGCAATTTCTTGCTTTCGAACTGCTAGGTTGACAGGAGCTGGCCCTAGAGATGGGAGCTCACTCCGTCATGCGGCACCCGGGTCTCGAACTGCTGAACGACCGACCTTTCACAGCCTGCAGTTCAGCACCTTAACCACTTGAGCCACCGCAGCTCCATATGTTGTATGTATGTATGTGCATAATATGAAAAATAATAAAAGTGTACCCATGGGTACTTTAAAAAAAAGAAAGAAAGAAACACAGAGGATACACTGACGCCACGCCACGGGAGGTCTGGTTCCTACCTTCCACGGAGATGTCCTGAATGGCGAATCGGAGGATGATTGTCCAGATCATGCCGAGGGTCATCTTGGCGTTGCCGTCAACGATCTCTGAAAGCGGAAGGGGAGGGAAACGTTAACGGGGGGGGAGGCTGTGCTGGGGGGGCCCATTCTGCCACAGCCACTGGTGCTCCCCAAACTTCTGGCAGCCCCAGGATGCTTTGGAAAAAACAACACAGAAACAGGAGACCTGCTTTGCTCTTGCAGCTGGGAACGCTTACTTTGAAAACGATTCTGTCACTTAACGCCATGTTTTAGTGGAGCAAAACTGAGTAAATCTCAGTTTATTACTCTTAACAGCTAAGAATATAAATTGAATGTGGAATGTAATTTGGAATGGTAGGTTTAAATCTAATTATCCTGGGGACAAGGAGGGTATTCCACGCAGCCGAGATGCTTTGAAGTTTGCCTCCATGCTGGAAAGGAGACGGATGGGATCTGACGACTGAATTCTCACAATTTGGTAAAGGTAACGTTTTTTTCCCTTGCTCGAAAGCCAGTCGAATCTGACTCTAGGGGTGCGGTGCTCATCTCTGTTTCCAAGCCGAAGGACCAGCGCTGTCCTAAGACATTTCTGTGGTCATGTGGCCGGCATGACTAGACGCCAAGCGGTACCTATTTATCTACTTGCAATTTCTTGCTTTCGAACGGCTAGGTTGGCAGGAGCTGGGGCCAGAGACGGGAGCTCACTCCGTCATGTGGCACACTCGGGTCTCGAACTGCTGAACTACCAACCTTCCGGTCTGCAGCTCAGCGTCTTAACCACTTGAGCCACTGCAGCCCCTCTCACAATTTAGGGTACATCAATCTTCTGACGTATTTATTACCTATGTCCCCCCCCCAATTGTACCCAAACAGATGATAACCAGTAAACAAGTTTGTCATTCTTTTTATCCGCTAAAAAAAACGGAGAGCCAGTTTGGTGTGGAGAGCCAGTTTGGTGTAGTGGTTAAGTGCGCGGACTCTAATCTGGGAGAAGCGGTTTTGATTCCCCACTCCTCCACTTGCACCTGCTGACGTGACCTTGGGTTAGTCACAAGCTCTGGCACAGCTGTCCTTGAAAAAGAGCCGTTTGTGTCAGAGCTCTCTCAGCCCCACCCACCTCACAGGGTGTCTGTTGTGGGGAGGGGAAGGGAAAGGAGTTTGTAAGCCCCTCTGAGACTCCAAGTGAAGGGCGGGGTATAAATCCAATCTCTACTTCTTCTTCTTCTTCTTCACATACGTCTGGCTCTCAGACCCTCTTTTGACACAGTCTTCTACAGATTCTTCTGCAGTGATGAAGAGTGTTCTGGGTTCCGTTCTCAGCTCCTACAGGGCTGGTACATCCATATACCCAGCCCATGATATGATGGTGGTTATGGCTTCACACATTCGTGGAGGATGGGTTTATTAATGGCTGTGAGCCATATGGGCTTAATCGAGCCTCCATCTTCAGAGACAGTGTATCTCTGAATGCCACTATTTTGCATGGTAATCTAACAAGCCACCCTCTATGTATACAAGTATGATTTGTAATTCCATTTCACTGTGTCTGATGAAGTGTGCGGGCACACGAAAGCTCACCCCTTGAATAAAACTCGGTTGGTCTTAAAGGTGCCACCAGACTCTAACTTTGTGAGTATGCGTAAGAATGACTGGCCCGCTCAGCGATCTGCATGATACACTGATCTGGGTGCATCTTGATGGGAAGAGAGGCACGCCCAGAACAGCAACTCATGCAGAGCTGCGATAGAAACAAACCACTCGCAGGAAATCTGCCCGTCACATCTTTGCATTGGAAGTACTCGAGTTAAATTATACCGAGAGATGCATCAAACGACGCTGACGGGAAGGAAGACAGGCCAGGACAGTTAATCATGCAGAGACGCCACCGGCAGCCTCCTCGGGCAGCAAGTACTTTGGGCTCGCAGGCAGGTTTTTGCTTCTGACGGCACGCTTTCCACTCCTGCACGACAGGCAGGGGTCATTTCCTGCGGGAGCGCACAGGAGTGGAGATCCGGCAGTAAGGAGCCCAGGGGGACGGGCACATGCAACAAGCCCCACCCCCTGCTCCCAGTAGCCCTCAGTTGGGCCACGAGGGGCAAGAAGCAGCCAGGTAGGTTGCAGAGCCCCCCCCCCCCACCCCCCCTTCCGGACAAAGCCCCC